TATATATATATATACACACACATACACAAAGATATGTGTGTGTACTAAGATATTAGTGTTATGATTTCTTGCCCATGAACCTTCCCTTTGTGTGTGCGTCCAGGCAACAGAAACGGAGATGGTCCGAGAGAAGGGAGGAGATGAGGCCATTGTTTCTATGTGTCTTTGAGTGTGTATATGATTGTATATGTTTGACTTTAAATGAAAATAGGATGCTCTAATAAAGGAAATAAATAATATCATACTTTTAGTGATTCCAGCACATTGCTGCAAATTCATATTTAATACAAGTTATCTACTTAGTCATTCAAATTTTCATTGTTTCCTTTGAATTGTGTGACCAGAAGTCAAAAAGGGGCATTTCAAAGTTGAATGCTATTGTTGGTATTCTTTATGGGAAACTGATTTGGTTTGGATTTTCAGCTCTAAAATGGAATATAATCAGAAAACTTGGACAAATTTACTACAAAAGGGCAATATGGTCTTTTACTTTTTTGGGGTTCTAGATGTAGAAATTGGTACAGACTGTACTAAAAATTTATGTCCCCTTTTAGAGGGTATTTTGGTCAACTTAACAGAGCCATTCAGATGCAACTTTAACTATTTGTTTTGTACATGTTTACATCACTCCAACTGTTATATGACCAAAATAGGTCTTAAAAGTCAAACTGATTTATAACCAAAACTCATTTGGTGTAGGTAATTCCAACAATCTTCAAACGAAAATCATGACATTTTTTTTTCAAAAGTTGTCCCAAAGTCTAATAATTATGCGGTTTGGGTGGGAGTCAATGGCTTTATATAAGTCAAATGGTGGACTAGTCAACAAAGGGTATTTTGGTTAAGATTATTCTTTAAATTTAGACATACACTAGTATAAAAAGAATGACCATTACATAATTATAGTCACACATTCAATGACCAAACTATAATTATACTGACTATGCATTATACTTCTTCTATAACTAGATTTACTTATAGATATACATAATAATTGTAACCATAACCAAATGTTTGTTAAACTCACAATATTTGTTTTTTTTTTCAATGCCAATTCATCACTTTTTGACACACATAATAAAATGCACATCACCATAATATTATCAACATATTATTATTGTTGATGATTTATGTGACAAAGCACAAAATATATTAATAAGTCACCGCTAAATACTTACAACAATATATTTTTGTTTTATGAAGACTATTCTTTAAATTTAGACATACACTGCTACAAAAAGACTGACCATTACATAACTTATCAACAAATAATATAAGAAGCCTTAACTAATCAAGCCTCTAAACAAACACTTTAACAATGATGAAGATCTACAACTAATTAAACTTAGGTCTGACAGCATATTTAAAGTCCCAATAAGACAGAATAGCATCCAGGGGCAAAATGGCCCAGTCCTGGGTAAAATGAGATCCACAATGTGCATTTACCGGTTGTAGTTTTGTATGTGGTGAATCTTCAACAACAACTCCATAAAATCGGAATCAAAAACCAACACTACACCCAAGTTAGACTTCATTATGGGTAAAATTAAAATCCTAAATAAATAATGAACTACTGATAAAAACCATTCCAAAAAAACATAATCTAATATCATACTTACTTGATAGGCGGTAGCGACATCTGGACACTGTTTAGGCAAAGTACCATCAATTAATTCAATCTTGTTCTTGACTGAAAGTGGGATCAACATAACTATACTCCATCAACCATAATTCTCATCAATGAGGATTTAAATTTGTTCCAATTATCGGAATAGAGGAGATAAAATGGATCGTTACTAGTATTTAGATCTTCTGTAGGGTGAACCGTCTCGGAAGACATAAGTTTGTGTTCCTACACATTCTCGTCTAATACAATCACCGAAAAATAAGCTTTCTATTTGGGATCGGCGACGATAAGGGCTAATGGACGATATGTCGGAGCAGTGGTGGAGAGCAGAGAAGAATCAAAGACCTCATGAGAGAATGACGAAAGCATGAACCCCAAAAACATGAACCCTAGCTGTTGAAAACGTGTTCGAGTAATAGGAATTAGGAACGTGAGCAGATGGGACGAGGTTTTCAATATTCACGAAATATTGAATTTTGAATTTTTTGATTTACTTCATTTTTTAAGTTTTGAAAATTTTTAAATTTCGAATATATATAAGAAATTTAGAATTATCCTAAACTTAATATAAAATTTAATCTTAATATCTATTTCTTCAAAATAAAAATATCAATATATTAGTTGAAAATGTATATGTGTGCGTATTGGATGTACATGCACATTATAATTTTTAAATAATAATTAATTCTTTTGACCCACATAATAAAAGGCACATAACCATAAACCACTTAAAGTAACTTGTTTTCTTGCTTTTGCTAAGTCACTAATAAACGCCACCACATGGACACACAGATATTTAATGTGGCCATATGTATCACCTGTTAGCTACATTGGATTTCATGTGTCTAAATAGGCACCATGATATAGAAACATATACAATTTCCTCATGTCACCATATATTTATCTATTGTCTCTTATAAAAAAAGTATCATAATGTTAATCTGTAAATGTGGTTGATAATGACATATGCCCACAATGTTCAAGTGTGGCTAATAATTGTCACATTTTGTATAATTAGATGTGGTTAAAGTTTTGATTATCTATACAATGGCCACACAAACTAATTTAAATGTATCAAAAATAGTGTCTAAATTTTTTTAGTGACCTTTCGCCATATTTTTAATAAAATGTGTGACAGGCCGTTTTTTGAAAAGTGTGACTGTAGGTCATTTTTGTACTAGTGCGAAGTGATCTGATCTTGATATGAACAAACATGTTAACACTGTTACCTACATTGGATGGGCTCTTGAGGTTGGTAATTCCATGTCAACTTGAAACAGTATTTGCAATTTGTTCATATTTTGGTGAATCTTGATGCTTTCTTTTTCTTTTTCTTTCAAAAGAACATTCCAATAGAAATCATTGACACCAGTTATTACTTTGGATTACAGACATGAATGACAACAAGATGACATAGTTGATTCAATTTATATTTTGGCTTCCTCATTAATGCAATGGATGCCTCATTAACAATGTGATTTTAGTTGGTTTTGTTAGTTTGTTAATTGCTACATTTGGAGTTCCATTTTATATATTTTATAAATTCTTTGTTACATTTTATAAGATTTTCCGAGATAAAATAATGTCCATGGCAGATGATGGGACTGGATGTGAAGAAGTTGTTGTCACTGAAATCATTACGATTCTTACACCAAGGTATTGCCTCTATTCCATGTGTCAAGTGTCATAATTGGTTTTTTTATCTTGTTTATCAAGCACTATAATGAGAGTATCTTTGTATTACAGGGGTCGATACAATGTTGAACTTAACCTTTCCTTTTTAAGGCTTAAAGGACAAGCCACTGATTTCAAAATTCAATACAACAGCCTAGTCCATGTTTTTGTCTTGACTAAGGTTTTTGTTTGTTCTCCTTTACACATGGCAAAGAGTTGTTTTAAGTCCTGATATATTTTTGTCATTGGTTTTACTCACTTACAAAATAAAATGACTATATTACCCTCTTTTCTGATGCAGTCTAACCAACCTCACACGTTTGTGGTTGTCGCTCTGGACCCTCCTATCTGTAAAGGTCCAACAATGTACCGATATATTGTAATGCATGTACCATTTCTTCACTACTTTTCACATTACCCCCTCACAATCCGGGTCCCACATATGATGCTCTCTTTATTTTTGTTGTATCAGTTTGAAACTGATTATATGGTCGAGAGTACTTTAATGATGAATGAAGACTTGTATTCTACAAAATACAAAGACAAATTAGAATCATCATATAAGGTAAAATGTACTTCATACTTAAGCTTCATGATGGTATTAAGTATGCTAAATTTTCAAATTTATCCTTGAAATCAACATGAACTTATTCATGAAGTGTTCACAATGATCTTGCGTGCATTATCTGGTAGAAAGTATTTCCCTAATAAGAAAAAAAATCCAAGTATAGTTCTATATTTAGGTAGATCTTTGAAAGATAATATATAGTAACATGCCTTAATAAGATAAAAAGTTAAAAGCACAATGTTGTAATGAAAAGAAATGAAAGTATGTTGCTATTTTTAGCATTTAGCCCTCAGAAATATACTGCAATTTTAACTATTTTTTGGTGGCAGAAAATTTTCCTAGAACGAAAAACTTGAAGCATCTAAAGAGATGATGGGGATGAAGCAGAAAGTGGGGCATGTGACACATCTCTCTCTCTCTATCTCTCATTGTTATTATTTTGGTATGGATGGAATGCAAAGCCAGAATAGGCATGAATGGTGGAAAGGAAGGAATGGAATGCAAAGCCAGAATGGGCATGAATGGTAGAATGGGTGGGCATGAATGGTGGAAAGGAAGGAATGGGGGATGTGAGACATCAAGTACGATTGTGTATTGTTGTATTAGATGTATATATATATGGCGTATTAGATGATTGTATGTGATGGCCCTAGAAAGTAGATAGGATACATATAAAGTATGGTTAAATAGCCATACTCTATTAGGCATGTAATCTAATACACCCCTCTACTAATACACCCTCTATGTACGTACTATATTCATAATTTCAACCGTATTACATTATCCTTTTTCTAGTAGTGATATTACATAGATAAACAAAAATTAAACAAGATTGTTTATGTAATACAAAATCAAACATTCTATTATATATATA